AGGGCTGGTTCCCACACGGGCTCCTCCCGACGGACTCCTGCCGCTCCTGGCGTCGCACGGGTGTCTGCCATGTCACCCCTCGGGCCCTAGGCACCTTCTCCGCAGCTGGTGGCAGCGGTAAGTCCCAGAGGAGGGATGCCAGCCCTGCCGGACGGGTGCAGAGGGTGCAAAACTTGTTGGTGTTTGGCTGCTCTCTTTGGTTTCTCTTGGCCAGTCCAGTCTGTTGCTTTTGATCCCCTCCATCTCCTGTTTCTCCTTGCACAGCCATGCCATCTCCCTGGGGGTCCCAGCAGCCCAGCGGTGGCTCCATGAGGTACTTTCTTAGGGTTGCAGCAGTCTGAAAGCAAACCTTGGTCACCCAAGCAGCCTTTTATCCTGTCATGCCATTTCTTTTCCCCCAGCCTGCAGTTTTAAAGACTACTTTGCTCCTATAGTTTGCTGAAGCTTCCTTTCTCTTGGATTCTCTTCCAGCTTTCTCTGCTGGCTGCCTCCACAAACCTCCTCTTCACCATGTCCCTCAGGCTGTTTTCCTTTCAAACAGCAGCTGCTCATTTCTCCGCTCTCCCCAACAGTGCTTTTTGTGCTGGAGGGGGGAAGTTGACTGGTCTCCTTTGTGCCCCCCTTTACTTTTCTGTCCTGCAGTTGTGCCTTTTCTGCCAAGTGCGTTAGACGTGAGTCCAGAACAAACCCAGTGCTTGGCTTTGGTGCTGTTTTCTCACTTAAGATACCCGTGTATCTCTAGCATTTCTTCTAGGCTCCCACAACACAGGCTGTTCCGTGCTGTTTTTCTCTGAGCATTCGTCACCTGGGTGCTACCCCAACCAAACTGTTTTTTTCTGAGTTTCTGTCCTTTCTGGCAAAGTTGTCAGGAAATGTCCAGGGTGCCCTTGCAGGCAGAGAACTGAGTCACTGTGAATGCTGAGCAGCTGAAGAAGTCTCTAAAGAAGTGTGAGAGAAAGTGATAGCGCACCCAGGAACTGCTCACCACCTGCTCCAGCTAAGTTGATGTCCTATACTGGGGCAGTCAGGCACCTGTGGCTACTATTTTATGGGGGTGGTGGTGGTGGTTTTTTGTTTGTTTGTTTTATTGGCTCACCAACTCTCTAACTGCTCCTGCATAATAGCATTAGTATGAAAAAATATTTTAAGACCAAACCTTTCTATGATACATGAACTGGAAGAAAGGGGAAGGAAATATTTTGGAAATAGAGTCTCTGTAACATTGATCGTTGGTGTTAGTGCAGGGTTGCTGTGAGGCTGCTGTTTTCAGGTGCAGTGTTGGTACAGAATCTGGGCTGAGGGAGAGGAAAACTTTCAGTGTTGTCATGTGCCTTGCTAACATGCGAGGAAGGAACATTGCCGAGTCTTTTCGGGTAACCTGGAGAATATATACTGCTCTGCTGCTGTTGAACTGGGGTAGAAACTGCAAGTAAGCCACACCAGTATTTGACTGTTGTTGGAAGAGGGAGGTGCATGTGTGTGGGTGTGTGTGCGTGCGTGGTGGGGACTAGCCCAGGATGCAGAAATGCCGTGGGTGAAAACGTTGCTGGCTAGGAGTTTCTGCGATTACTATAGGAGTTAGTGTGTCATGTTTCCCTCTAGTGGACTGCTCATAAATACAGTGGAAACCTGTTCCTCCAAAAACCAACTACTGGCAATTCAAGGAGAAATTACTTTCTGGGGGTTCGGTCTCATACACCACACATAAGCCCGCATACGTACACTGAGGCGGTGTATGGCTTTATCATGGTAACTAGAGCTGGGAGAAGACAGAAGCAGGTGAGATCAAAAACCAGAGGCAATGTGTTCTCAACCCTAATCGACCATTGTTCTCTGGCTGTTTTTTGAGCTGTGGTTCACTTTTCCTATGGGAAGACTGGATCAACATTGGAGAATTTTCTCTTAGGTGCAGTGAGAGAAATCTCTCCAGTTTGAGGCCTCCTTGTAAGAAAGTGGAGAGATGTTTGGTTTTCACTTGGCTTCCCATACGTGAGGACATCAGTAGGTGATTCACTGCAGCTCAGTGGTTCCGTTCACTTGGCCTCTGCTCCCTCTGTGGCCTCTTCCTTCCAGCTGAAGGAGGATCTGTTGCTCTCTAAAAGAGGACTTTCTCCTGTGTTCATCCGCACAGGTCATCTTGGCTAATAACATTCACAACTTCTAAACCAAACATCACTCAATTGAGAGCCAATGATGGTTTTCCAGTAGTGAACGAGTAAACAAACCTGCATCAGATCGTGCATTCTGCATGGACCTGTGCAACAGTTAAAGATATTGGTGTCATGTTTTTACAGCACATTGATGTTTAATACCAGTCCATCTGCCAAAACATGAAGACTAAAACCAAAGGAAAGAAGAAAAGGCATGTTGTGGACAACGAAGCATTTTCTGAGGAGTCGGCAATGAGAAGAAAAGAACTGGTGAAATGTTTGCGACACAAGGAGAGGAGGAATGGGGGAAACAAGGAGAGCAGCAAGATCACTACAGGCAGAGCCAAGCATCCTTGGAGCAGTAAGGACAGGCATTTGAGGAGACTGGAGAGCAACGAGCGGGAGAGGCAGAGAATGCACAAGCTCAACAATGCGTTCCAGGCTCTGCGGGAGGTGATCCCTCATGTGAGAGCTGAGAATAAACTTTCCAAAATAGAGACTCTCACACTGGCCAAAAATTACATTAAATCTTTGACCTCCATTATACTCAACATGTCCAATGGACACTTTCCAGCAGCAGAAGGGATGGGGGGAGCCTGGGGCTCCAAACTGTATGAGCATTATCGACAGCAACATGGGGACGATGGTCATGAGGAACATCTACAAAAATACTCCACATAGGTTCATAGCTTCAGCCAAAGCACCTACAGGTAGCTACTACCGTTGTTCTTTTCCTTCTGACATGACAATACGTGTCAGTACATAGAGGTTTTAAGAGATTATTGTTGCCTCCAGCTATCCTCTATTCTTTCTTAAAAACAACAAGTAACACTCCTGGCTGTAGCTTATATGGCACACTAAAAAATTACCTTAAATTATAAGAATTTTTCAGAGCTTAATGGATATATTTGTGTGGTGTGTCAGGGTCTGGAAACCTATCCTGTAACACTGTAGTTGACTTGAAAGTAAAGATTTAGTAACTTCTGAAAATCACCCTTCCTGGAAGGGTTGTGAGTGGAGCATTTAAGTTCACTAGAGTTTGTTGAGATCTTGGCTGTAGTGCTGTTCACCAGCCTTTCAGTGACCCTGTTCTACGTACCCTGCTACAGAGGAAATGAAAATCAATGACAACACTTGACTGACTTGATGAGTGAAGTGGCACGTATGGGTAATTGGCAACCAGATCTGAGTTTTTGACTGTTCTGGATCTGCGCTCATAATTTTGAACCTTGCAAAGCATAAAAACTTTTAAAGTACTTGTTAATGTGAACATCTGCAAAGCTTGCTTAGATTGTAAGCTCTCTAGAGTAAGGACATTTTCTGGTCTGTCTTTCCAGAGCATCCAGCCTCATGGAGTTTTCCTTTAATGGGTCTTTGGGTGCCACTGTAATATAAATAATAAATAAGGGACAAATGACTTATTTTTGACAAAACTATGATAAATATGGTTTAGTATAATGGTAAGTTAGACAATGATCTATCCAATTACAAATTATTTGCTAATGAAACCTGTAATGTGATCAGGGTTCTTTCTGGGTTAGTGCTAGATTCTGGTATTGTAAAACAATAAATGAAGCAGGAACTCTTCACAAATGAATATGAGCTTTTTTTTTTTCCATTTCCTATCTTACTGTAAAAACTGTTATGTCACTGAGGAACTCTCATTTCCTCTCGTGTTCTCATACCTGAAGAACAAGCTGAGGTGCCCTCAGCTGGAACTGTGCTGCCTATGGAGCCCCTGTGTCACAGCTCTTCCTAGCCATGTCCCCAAAGTCCTGTGCTGGCAGGATGGCTGTTGCCCTGCGGTGTGGGTAGCACAGGTAGAATCTGGCATCTCCCACGCCGGTGGTATTGATAACAGTATGTGGCATGGTCCTTCTCCCTGCAAGGTAGAGCCATCCAAGGAGGGACGGTGGCTGAGGAAGGGTTTACTGCATCCGTCCCAGAAGGATTGTGCCGGACTGCGGTTTGTAACACGCTGTATGTTTTGCTCCAGCAGGGCTGATAGCGTGGTGGTTGCATTGGGACTGAAAGGTAAGGCTGGCAAGGGATGTGAATTGATTTTTCTCTACCACAGCAATGATGTAGAACACCACAATGTTTTGTATGTGTGGTTGCCTTACCCAAGAGAGAAATTAATTTGGATCCTGCCTCGACTTGGGATTTTCTTAGTTTCCAAACTGTTTTCACAGTAAAATAGTTGTGATTAGCCCTCTGAGTGCTGAAGTGTTAATGAAAGTATTACTGAGGCTCTTACAGATTTGATTTGCCGTAACACTGCTGTGTCTTGCTTCATTCAACA